CTTATACGCTTATACCTAATGGAGAGGTCACGAAAATAACCTGACCTCATATGACCTTTATGAAAAATCCGAGATGTACCTACAAGCTGTGAGACTCCTAATGGATACTAGGTCCTGCAAGGTTTATTTACCTGTGAAGGCTCCTCTGGCAGTGAGGGCGTTGCGAAGTTGCGACGTCTGAAGACCGTGCAGAGGTTCACTTATGACCTTACCTATAGGTCAGTGACCTGATCTGACCCGAAAATGCAGTTGGTGTCAACAGATCCGGCTTGATTCAAAGGTCAGGTATGCCAAGCTTCAGCTCTCTATCGCCAGCGTGTTCGGAGCTATCACGAAAAAAAAAAACCTATGGACCCCCCTTCTCGGCCGGCGACAGAGACCAGTACAGGACCTGCAAAGGGCAGTTTGAGACCTTTAGATGCCGACTGTGGGTCCTTACAGGCCAGCATGGGCCCTCAGAGGTCAGTGTGAGACCCTGAAATACCGGCATGGGCTTACCGGCATGGGCTTACCAGCATGGGAAAATAACGGCATGGGATCTGAGTCCCATGCCTCAGATCCCATGCTCAGAGGCACCCAAAGGTTAGTCTTGGGACCCCAGAGACGAAATGAGGCTACCAGAGGCCGGAGTGAGGCCCTCAGACGCAGGCTAGGCCCTTGAGACCGGTTTAGGGACCCTCAAATGCCAGTGCAGGGCCCTTAGGTCAATGTGGGTTCTCAGCGGTTAATGTGGGCGCTTGACCGCCACTGAAGGGCCCTCCGAGATCAGTGTAGGACCCTCAAAGACTGGTATGCCGGAGCTGTTAACCCGCGACCGCCTGGGGGGGGGGGTCGGATCCGACCCCCCTCCGTTTTTCTTGAATAACTCATGAACCACTTTCGCTATCTACTTGAAACTTGGCATACCTTCTCCCAAATCAATTTGACGTCTCCAGTGCAATTTTTAAGGAAAAAAAAAATTCCAAAAAAAAATTTGAGATATATCGATTTTAGTGATGTAACTACCTGGCGTTTTTAGTCAAAAAGTGGTAAATGTTTAAAAAATCGCCAAAAATCAGGGTTTTAAGCAAATTGCAAATTAAGGACATGAAAAGCCGCAGCTTAACAAGTTCTGTAAACTTAGGGGAGTGACGGTCGTCCCAGTTTACATCTTCCGATCGTGGTGATCGGGAAGCGTGTTTCGTTCCGAGCACTCGTCAGCCACCAGGGCTCTTCATGTCGCCCTCTTTTCCTCTTCTTCCGTTTTCCTCCAAAGCCTTGCGCCGATGAGTAGGAGAGTGTATTTACAAAATTTCATATTTCACTATTGTACATAAAATACGGACGATAGACAGTATACCAATATGCCCGCAGGCGCGGCGAGAAAGAAGCTCAACGTATGAGTCACCGTCCGGCTGCCGGAAGAGCCCCTACCGCGACCTTTGTTCACAGTCATGACGTCACGACAATGGGCTCCTAAACGTACGGGCAGCGGCCGCCTCAGGGGTGCCGCCGTGACCTTTGGACGGCGGTTCTATAGCGTATGGCACAGCGGTTACTAGGAAGGTTGAGGCCAGCGGCAGGCCGGTTTACAAATAACAAACAAACTTGACGCGCAATTGACAACAGGTAACAGATTGATTAGTAAAGCGGTGACAATATAAATGAAAATGACAACATGAAATGACAAATCGCATAGATGATCCCTACAGTACCCCCTCGCCAGACATGTCGCGGACAAAAGTGACATGGCGATATCTTACCGGAGGTCGTATGACGCGGCCGGAGCGGGTCGTCCGTAGTATCGGCTGAGGCTGCAATAGTGCAGCGTCAGCCCGAGCGACGGCTGCAGGGCGATTTGGTGCGTCACCGTAGATCAGAAGCTCCGGGCCGCTGGGCTCATTGCTGAGCGGTGGCGCGGCCGGCGGGCCGCTGGACTGAGTACCGTGCGGCTGCACAGTCGGCAGGTCAGACTGTCGATGACCGGATTCGTCTGGCGTCTCCAGGAAGGCGGCCTTACACCGGTCGATGTTGCTGGTTGGCATCAGTCCGGGCGCTGGCGAAGAGGTCCGGTAGCGAACGAAGTCGGCTGAGTAGAAAGCAGGCCCGTGCTTCCGGTTGGTTGGTTCGCTGGCGGCTACCGGCTGTTTGTTGGGTGGAGCTGGCGTCGGTTGGGCAAGTCCACTCGGTGGATTGCGGCGAGGTGTGCTGAGCGGGGCGTCAGCGTCGATCTGGTGCTGCTTGGCAGTCTTCGTGTTCCGCACGAAGAGAAGTGTTGTGGTAGATGCTTTCGCCCGGCTGCACGGAGGTTCGCAGCGGCGGGCCTTGTTGCCGAAACGCTGGTGGTACCAGCAGACAGAGCTGTCTGGGTACGTCGGCGTCGGAGGGCGTGACGGGAGAGGCGTCTGACGGTCGCGTTGATGAGTCCGGTCGCGGCGGAAGAAGCTGCACGGCACTTTGCAACGGCGTGCCCTGGTGCCGAATCGCTGGTGGTACCAGCAGACGGCATCATCTTTGTGCGTCGGCGTCGGAGAGCACGCTGGTGTCGGCAGCCGTGATGAGCGAGGCGCTGGGCGTCGGCGGGAATGGCTCCGGCCACGATCCCGTCGCAGAGCGTCTTGCAGGCGTCGGTTGCTGGCCTCGAGGTTTTGGATTCTCACGATGAGAGCCGCGATGATAGCAAGCTGGGCTGTGGAACGGTCTGCTGCATCCAGTTGATGTGTAGGCGAGCCGAAGTTGGTTGCGGGAGGAGCGGTGTGCTGCCGGGTGGCGTCGCTCGATTCCATGGCGTGGTGCGCGAGTAGCTCGGATCACGTCGGGGTCACCAGTGTAAACTTAGGGGAGTGACGGTCGTCCCAGTTTACATCTTCCGATCGTGGTGATCGGGAAGCGTGTTTCGTTCTGAGGGCTGTTCACGGACCCTGTGTGCGGTCGGACCGCACACAGCCTCCAAGCTCCGCCCACTGCGTCCCTACGTCAGCCTTGCGTAACCGCACACAGCGACCGCTGTGGCCGGTCGGGACTGGCCACAGCGGACCGTCCACCGCACGCAGCCGTGACGTCAGAGCCACCTACCCATCCCCTACCCCCACGCCTGCTGGACGTACCGCACACACCGCACGCAGCAGTGTGCGGTGCCCGTGAACACCCCTCCGAGCACTCGTCAGCCACCAGGGCTCTTCATGTCGCCCTCTTTTCCTCTTCTTCCGTTTTCCTCCAAAGCCTTGCGCCGATGAGTAGGAGAGTGTATTTACAAAATTTCATATTTCACTATTGTACATAAAATACGGACGATAGACAGTATACCAATATGCCCGCAGGCGCGGCGAGAAAGAAGCTCAACGTATGAGTCACCGTCCGGCTGCCGGAAGAGCCCCTACCGCGACCTTTGTTCACAGTCATGACGTCACGACAATGGGCTCCTAAACGTACGGGCAGCGGCCGCCTCAGGGGTGCCGCCGTGACCTTTGGACGGCGGTTCTATAGCGTATGGCACAGCGGTTACTAGGAAGGTTGAGGCCAGCGGCAGGCCGGTTTACAAATAACAAACAAACTTGACGCGCAATTGACAACAGGTAACAGATTGATTAGTAAAGCGGTGACAATATAAATGAAAATGACAACATGAAATGACAAATCGCATAGATGATCCCTACAGTTCCTTAAAATGGCTATCTCGGATTTTCCATAAAATGCGTTTTTCACCCCTAATGTTCGAAGCTGAACACATCTAAGGCGTTTTCATCGCTCTAGCATGCCTCTATCAAAAGTTATTTGCGAAAAACTGTTAGATACCATTCGTGACCTAAGATGACCTCAGGGCATAAACAAGGGTCACGGACACCATTTTCATGTTCAGTGTGTCTAAACCACTTGTAATTCGGTGTTTAGGAGTGTTTATAATGTCTTTCATCCAAAAGAGGCGCATTTCAATTTTCTCCCATTGACTTATAGGTAATGGGGAGGTCGCAAAATTGACCTGACCTTAGGTCATCGATATCAAAATTCTGAGATATACATTTGGTACATGCTATTGCTCTTAGCAATCGCTGAAAGATTCAAAGCGATCGGTCACTCGGTGTAGCTATGACAGACATTGAAACTTTTTATGAGGTGAGGTCACTTCAAGTGACCTGGTGACCTGACCTTTTTTGAGATATTCGCGAAAAACCACACGGGGGGGGGTGTTCAAACACCCCCCTCCCCCCAGCAGGGCGCGGGTTAATAGCTGGCATGGGTTTCTTGAGCCTCGTGACAATCGAATACCTAAGGGCCAGAGCCCCATACGCCCATGGGGGCCCATTAGTTGTTGGGGGGGGGGGGGCAAATGATATATGATGGCCCTTGATTAGCCTTTGGGGATGGAAGGGCATGGCCCTGATCCCCCCTCTGCGACCGCCACTGCACTGAAAATGGAAGGGGGAGGGGCAGATACAGATATTGCTGGCCCCCGGAGGCCGGAGCCTGTTTGAACCGAGGCAGGGGGCACGGTCACCCTGGCCCCCAGCTACTACGCCTTTGACGAACTATGCCGACCCCAAGCAGATCCGGTCAAGCGTTGGTACTTGGTCGTTTGTATACGCATTCTCCTGCACCGTGCTAGTATTGTCTTATACCTTTTCAGTGCCCGCCGTCCCGCGTCTCGTATTCAACACAATGCTGCCACCAGGACTCACAGTTTTGTCTCTGATGAGAGTGAAGGGAATTGCGGTTAATAACGCTGTAGAAACAAAAGGGAATATTCGTTACAGTGCAGGCTGAATAGTCGTCAAGTTCTGGTGTTAGGGTACCAGGTGGTAGGTACAGACAGACACTAAAGTCAGCAAAAAGTGGGGGGGCAGTTAACATTGCTGCCCCCCCGCCCCACCTCCGAAAGTGGGGGGCCATGGCCCCCGCCCCCCCCCCCCCCCTGTTCCTACGCCTATGATTCTAACCGGACACCTCGCGTTTAGCCCGCAGTTCTAATTTACAGGTTATTGAAGAAAGTTGCGGCTCTGTTCCAGTACTTTCCTTCTAGAGCTGATAGCTGATAAATTTATCATTGTAGTTGAGTTTCTCAAGCTTGTTGAAGCTTATTTTTGGTTTTATTTTTATTTTTACGTAGGTTTTATTATTTTACTAGATTCATACAAATTCGGACGCTTTTTGTGTGAATTCGAGTTTACTTTTTCCACGTGCTTCTCTATCTTTTCCGTGAGAAGCGGGTGGGTGTGCACACGTGTGTTGGGCTGAATTATCTATCAAAATGTTGCAAGCTGCAAGGATTTCGACCAGGAAAGTGTCTGGTGCCTTCAGTTCACAAAGTCTGAAGTCATTCAGCAGCTTGACGAAGTTGGTGAGTGACGGTAGCAGCGGCATTACATGCTAGCCGCGGTTCATGGCCGGTGCGGCGATTGCGTAATCTTGATCTCTAGCCGGTGTCAAGTGTTAATTGCTATGGAATAATGGGGATTTGGATAATATGGTATGTGGGTGTTAAAGGTGCCACCCCACCATTTGATAGTTACTTCCTGTATGTTTGATGCAGTCTTGCAATGCAATCCAGCCATCCAAGAAACTTTGCGCGAGACGTTTTCTTGGATGGTTTTCTGGGATAGCTTGATTTCATCGAGGGCTTCTGTTTTAAAGAAAATTTGTAAGCTTTGCTGAACTGTTAAGTAATTAGAACTGCCAGTATTTCAGTATCTAACGTGTAGTTATTGTTACTGTATTTTATTTATGCACATTTCGGCCTTTTTTAAGCAGATAACGAACGATATTAAGAAACATACAGGAAATAATATCTAGGACTCTACCGCGACAAAATGTTTCTATCTCGAATTTTCAAAATTTCATGCAGTCGGCCAAGGCCTTGTGCATGAAATCCTTTGAAAACTCGGTAAAAGTATACATTGAGTTCGAGTGACTGTTTAAATTTAAAGTTTTCATATTCTTACATTATTTGACATCCTGAATCCAAAAATGATGCTTATATGTCCTGGAAATAAAAGGAAAACAATCAAACCTGACCTAACCTTACCTATTTACCTACAAACCTAAAACCTACAAACCTAAAACCTAAAATCTACAAACCTACAACCTAACCTAACCTAAAACCTACAAACCTACAACCTAACCTAACCTAAAACCTAAATTTTTTGCTGTTACATATTTGTATCAACAGCGTCACAATTGTCCACTCGGACCTAATATCAGTAGGTGGAACTATGGTCATGAGTACCCAAATATAGGAACGTTCCCATTTTTGGGAACGGAGTTCCCAAATATGGGAACGGGTGTTCCCATTTATGAGAACGGAAGGCAATTTTTCGGCCGTTCGTCCACGAAAACTCAAAAGTGCACCACGTCTCAAAAAAGTGCACGCTAATTTAAGTATCTACTAAGTCTCTATAAAATTATCTTTAATCTGACCGTTGAACAAGGAAATTGACCGTCGAATGATATTTTTAATGATTTTTTGAAATGACGGAATGGCGAAAACATGGGTTATACTACATTTAACATGCAATTTTAAAGAAAATGAAGCGTTTTTACATTTTGAGGTCAAGTATAATAATTTTCGCCTGGTTATGAAGTTTCATACTAGCGACACCAGATGCTGACATATGCAAGTGAACACGCGGACAGTCCCGAGGTAATATTGTTGAATTTTGGTGTCGGGGCGCACGACCGCGTGGAACGTCAGTGATTTTACCGAACTTCTGTCGTAAACTCAGTTTCAGTGGTTTAGAATTATTCAGCTGTATTTTATCAGCCCGGAAAGACATATTTTATTTGGATGCTAGCTGTTTAGCGTTGTTTTATAAGGAGCGTCATGAGCGTGGTTTTTGTCTTCCGTGTTTCTAAGCATGATCGTTTTGGGGGGATTTTTCTTATATAGGTCGCTCTGTGTGGCTTATTTATAATTTTTATGCTGAATTTGATCATTCCTCGTGCCCATCCTACCAGGCCTTTTGCCACTTACACTCATTAAGAAAGGAAAAAACTAGATTTTCATTGGGACTAGATGTTTTGAGGGTGTAACATATTCAGCGTTCCCATTTTTGGATACTTCCTTGTGCTCGTCAACTATCGGTGATAAACAGACAGGTGATTGACATGTCTCCACCCTCGGCGCGGACGGTGGATATAGGTATGGAATACCTTGTTGAACATCGCTGAGCGTTGTGAATTACGTAATCCTGCAGAGGGGGGCGTGCCCGCTGCGAGATCGACGGGAATAAAAGCGCAGAAGACCGGGCGAAACATGCGACGGTCTTGCCGGAAAGGTCATCTGATGATTGTTGTGTTAACAATGATTTGCGGCGTTGGACGTGATGCTTGTTAATGAAAAGAGCCCCTGAAAGGCGTCGGTGAAATCGTTCCCAATATTGGGTACGCCGTTCCCATAATAAGGAACGCTTGCAGCGCCAGTGTACGAGAGCGTTCCCAAATTTGGACTCGCGGCCCGGATGATGGACTGCTTTAGAAATAGGGGAACGATTTGAAACTACGATGGGCCTTACAATATCAAACTCTTTCCCAACAATATTGAGACAAATATCAGGCGGTTCACGATCGTTTTATATTTTTTGGACGTCATTTAACGGTTCTTTTTCTTGTTTTAAATAATGCCTACATGGCGTTCCCATATTTGGGTTTATCGTTCCCAAACATGGGAACGAAAATGCGTTCCCGAAAATGGGTACGCTTGACCATAGTTCCGCCTACTGATATATACTAATACCGAAAAATCTCGATAGAAATATTTCGTTTTTGCGGTATCGTCCAAGAATGTATATTCCTGGATTGTAAAATGCTATGGGCCTGTTCCAGCGCCTCCAGTAGAAATTCTTGACTGGAGGCTCTACCAGAGCTTTCACTGGAGGCGCTGGAATGCAATCTGGAGATTTCTGGAGATTGGCGTCATAGATACCTACCTAAAGAATGATTGTTCTCTCTTGAAAGGCAAAATTTGTGTTCAATTTTAGTAAAAAAGATTAACAAAATTATAGCAATGTAATTTTCTTTACATTCAAGTTGTAAAATTCTCAGTCAAAAGTTCTTTGTTTACATTTGTGATTGTCACATGTGCGCCAAAATTGTAGACCAGAGCCTCCAGAGAAATTTGGACCTCCGAACTCTGGAGGTTCTGGAGCTTTGGTGAGAGCTTTCTGGAGCTCTCTGGAGGTGCTGGAACGCTCTGGAGGATTCTAGAGCTTTCTGGAGGTTTCTGGAGGCGCTGGAACAGGCCCTATAATTGCAAGAAGCGGCTGGAGCAATTCTACTATTCTAGCAGTTAGCCGGTCCCGTAGCTCAGTTGGTAGAGCGTTGGACTCCGCGTGGTGAGAGCACGCGCTCCCGGTTACAACAGTCCGGGTTCGAAGCGCGACGGGCGCTCGACATTTATGGGCTTCCTGACAGGTATGGTTGCGGTTGGTGGCAGGTAGCCAGGCGAAGTCGGTGAGGGTACCGGCCGTGCGCGGCTATGTGCGCACGTTAAACTTTGGACTCTAAATTCTGCCATAGAACTGGAATTGCGCAATCGGAGGGTAGAGGGCAGGGTCACCGCAACAAGTTTCGCTTAGCGGTGGCTCTGTCCTTGTGAATCCTTCCCATCAAAAGGTTCGGACTAAATTTAAAAAAAAAGTTACCCGCTGACTGAGACTGAGGCTGCAAAGTCAGTTGGGGTAACTACGAGATGAAGTTCCAAAAATTAATCGGTCAATAAGTATAATCGATCTGTTCGGCGGCCGGCTAGCGCGCTAGCCCGCGCACACATACGTGCACGTTGCCCTGGCAACGGGCTATTGACCAATGAGAAGCGCGCTACGGGGGCACAGGTATATGAAAAATCGCAGTGATGTTGCATTTTCCTCGCTTCTCATTGGTCAATAGCCTGTTGCCGGGGCAACCAGCACGTATGTGAGCGCCGGCAAGAGTACTAGCCGGCCGCCGATCAGGGCCCCTAACTGAAGTGTTGCACGTGCATACTGCATACCCGAGGTGCTCACCAGCCCAGTTGGAGAGCCATACTATTATCTGGATTATTTGTCAGCTGGCACCGTATGGTGGCGCTAGCAGAGCTTGTTTTATATCAATGCTAGATATAAATGACTAAAACGTCTCTATTAACCCTTGCATGTGTGCGGCATTTGCCAGCTTCTGATGTGTAGGGGGGTCGGTTGGACCCCCTTGACGTTTGGCCCCTGATCGAGCTAGAGCTTCGCGGAAAAAACGAGCGTGTTGGCCGTGACGAGAGGAAGCTGATGATACCCAATGTTACGGTCCAAGGTCATTGGTTGACCTTCCAGGTCAGGTCAATGACCCAAAAATCGGGAAAATCTGGACCTGTTAGAGCGTCACAAAGCGTGGCTGTCATAGGTTTTTCCACGGTGCTGATCACGAATATCATGTTAGTTGTGATCACAGATGATGTTTTCATGCATTTAGGCAAGGTCGAGTCAGGTCAACCAGTAGGAGGGGGTCTTGCCGTAGTAGGTGTCAACCGCTTCTGACAGCTTCGATACATGTTACGAAGGCACCAAAACTACTTCATAAATGTTCAAATGGTTGCTTCATTCGAATTCAGCTCCAAAAACTACTTCAGAAACATGAAAAACTCGAAAAGTGAACCGATGTCATCAAAAGGTCAGTAACCTGAGTCCTGACCTGGGCTTCGGGTGACCCTGGCACCCACCCTAATGCATGGGTTCAACATTATTCACATGTTTGAACGCTTGAAACAGCGAAAAGACTGCAAACGCGCGGCTAATGCTAGCCGACGGCCCGACATACGCCGAATCACGATACCGGCCAAACATGGTCTCGAGAAATAGGTCATAGGTCAAAGGCGATTTGGCTTAGGGTCATGAAATTTTCAGGGTAGGTATAAAATTGATTAACTCGAGGGTACCGAAAGTTTTGTCGCGATCGGCTTATTTTTACGCTAGGTATTCGCGAAAAACCGAGGGGGCGGGTTCCGTTAACCCGCTCCCCCCCCCCCCCATGGATATGACCTCCTTTGACCAACTTCGTGGCTTGGGGGACTCTGACCTGACCTTGACCCTAGGTCAGAGGCGAACACGATGGTGCCAAAATTGCGGCGCTGCGACCGTTTTTTGCGGAGTTATTTGTCAAACACCAAACCCGTGCCTTGGGTCACTTGGCCTGACCTCGGAGGTCACCAGTTGACCTGAGACCTTAAAGTTGGGTACCAGTGGCTGCGTCTCGTAACGGGGCACACCATCGTTTTTTCCGCGATGCTCTAGCTCCATCAGGGGCGAAACGGCGAGGGGGGGGCGTACCACCCCCCCCCCCCGCTGGCGCGTAAGTAGAAAACCATTAGGTCGGGCGAGGGTTAACCCGCGCCCGGCTGGGGGTCCTGGATTTCCACGCCCTGCTGGGGGGTGTTTGAACACCCCCCTTCTAACTCGGCTCCTGGGCCACGTAGCGATACGCGGAAGGCGGCGTTCGAAAGAGCGTCAAAAATAATGAGGAAATCACTTTGGTCAATTGTTTGGTCAGGTCAAAGGTCAGGTCACCAGAGGTCATTGAAGGCAAAATTTCGCCGATTTCCAGGTCGAATGTCGACAATTTCCAAGAAGCTAACGCATAACTCGGGAACCAATAGAGCTACAGCGCCGCGGAAAAGCGCATTCGATGGCCCTATTAACGCCCTTTCTGAGCAATTCTCTCAGATTTGACCTAACGTCAACGGTTTTGCCTGCAGGGGGCAAAAACTGCAAAAATAGCCGATTTTTTCGGAAACAGTTTTTCTGCAATAACTTTTGACCCAAGCCTTGTACGAGCTTACTTTTACCGGCATCGTGTTCCTCTCGTCAAGACGCATCGAATGAACTATAACTTGACCTTGAAAGGTCAACTTGAAAATTTGACCTCAGGTCAAGGTCATGACCTGACCGGAAAGGGACATGTTGCATATCAGTCGATCCGTATCGTCGAGCTGAACACATCTGAGGCGTTTTCATCGCTCTAGCATGCCTCTATCAAAAGTTATTTGCGAAAAACTGTTAGATACCATTCGTGACCTAAGGTGACCTCAGGGCATAAACAGGGGTCATGGACACCATTTTCATGTTCAGTGTGTCTAAACCACTTGTAATTCAGTGTTTGGGAGTGTTTATAATGTCTTTCGTCCAAAAGAGGCGCATTTCAATTTTCTCCCATTGACTTATAATGGGGAGGTCGCAAAATTGACCTGACCTTAGGTCATCGATATCAAAATTCTGAGATATACATTTTGTACATGCTATTGCTCTTAGCAATCGCTGAAAGTTTCAAAGCGATCGGTCACTCGGTATAGCTATGACAGACATTGAAACTTTTTATGAGGTGAGGTCACTTCAAGTGACCTGGTGACCTGACCTTGAATGACCTTGGTCTGAAATTTTCACAACATGTGTAGAATTGATGTATGATAAGGTGTACCAAAAACGGCGGCGCTCCGCGCCGCCGTTTTTGAGATATTCGCGAAAAACTACAAGGGTAGTTACAAGGGTGTTCAAACACCCCCCTCCCAGCAGGGCGCGGGTTAAAAATGTCTTCATTCTCTTTCAGGGCAACCAGTATGCTGTATCCGGCTCTATCAGAACGCCACAGTATGACGTCTTCAGACCCATGTAAGTATGCATCATGCTGCCTTGCGAACTTTCAATGGGCCCTGTCGTTTGATCTTATCTCACCATACAGATAATCGTTGCATTACATCCAAGCCCAAACAAACCATCTTGTGTCCTGCCATCTCATTAATCAAATACCATACATGCTGTGCTGGCCCTTGCACGAGTTACTTCATAAGTGATAACTCAAAATATTCTTACCACATTTTGATTTCTACCAATTTGTCACTTCAGCGCTTCAGTCTGTTGGTTTGGGTTTTAGGAGACTGTGTCGTAATACAGGTCCAGATGAGTTTTTTTTTTTTTTTTTTGAAGACGATTTGCTGGAGGATCTGAGTCGTAGGGGAGACTGGGGTTGATTGTTGCAGTTTTTGTATTTTATTATCTGGTACAAATACATTTGCAGCTATCATGCTCTTTCTTTCTCTTTTCAAAAGCTATGATGTTTTGTCTTTTAAATGCATTTGAAACATTTCCGAAATAGCATCTTTTTGTCGAACTTGTGATCCGAAAGGCGAAAAAGTCTGCTTAGCTGCTACAATTCACCCCGCATACAGATTTAAAAGTAGCCCAACCGGGGACAATTGTAACATGCTACTTACAGCTTACATAAATGCAATCTTTTCAAAAACTTTGAGTTGACAAATGACTAACATGTAACACATTACACATGTTCATCTCCTCAGACATGGAAGGTACGGTTCTACTTCTTCTCAGGAAAACAAAAACAAACTTAACCTCGCACTTATACGGGGGTAGGCCGTAGGATGGACCTGTTCTCCCTCGGTTTTTCGCGAATAAATCGCGTAAAAAGCTGCTGATTATGACAAAACTTAAGAGTTCTCTTAATTCTAGCAATTTACCTACAAACCTTCCTTGATAATTCTAAACCTAGATAATTCTACAATCTACAAACCTACCTTGAAAATTTAATGACCGTTACATTTGACCCCTGCATGAATGTTTCAATTGTCCCCGTCGCGCCATGACATTTTTTTTTTTAGACGAAACTGGTGCAAAAAGATGTTGCAAGGAGAGCATCTAATGCCTTTAGTTTATTAGCCTTAAACTTGCCTTAACCCTCGCCGGACCTATTGGTTTTCTACATACGCGCCGGCCGAGGGGGGGGGGAGGCGGGTACGACCCCCCCTCGCCGTTTCGCCCCTGGTGGAGCTAGCGCGTCGCGGAAAAACGAACGTGTGCGCCGTTACGAGAGATTGGTACCAAATTTTAAGGTCCTAGGTCAACCGGTGAGTCGGTGACCTCTGAGGTCAGGTCAAGTGCCCCAAGGTACGGTTCAGTTTTTGGAGAATAACTTCACAAAAAACGGCTGCACAGTAGAGGTCTGCACCGGCCGGCTGCAGCCGCGGCTGGCTGCAGCCCCACGGCTGTGGGCCGGGGCGGCTGCAAATATCTCCAAGAACACGGCTACGGCTGTGGCCACGGCTGTGATATTTCAAGCTCAATCTTAAGTGCTCAAAAATATAATTTTAAATCCTTAATCTTACATTCTGATTAGCACTCTAGCCTGTAAAAATCATGCAAAGGATGCCCACCAACATTGAAAGTGGTGAAGCCTTTGAAAACCTGTAATGGTTTTACCATTTGCTGTAGGGGAGCTTGCACTCTGGTACAGAATACTAATTATAGGTACCAATTGTTCCTTCATCATCAAGAGCTTGACAGTTTCAGAAAATGCAACATGTTGCATTGTCACATCCCTCTCAAATCAATCTCACCTGGTCATTAGGAGAGCACCTTACAGCTATTGAAGACGAGCATTCAATAATTCTTTCAGGCAGGCGCGGATACAAGGGGGGGGGGGCCATGGGGGCCATGGCCCCCCCCCCCCTTGGCCGATTTTTTTCAAAAATAAAATAAAAAGTTAAAAAGTTAAAAAGCTGAAAAGGGGGCCTCCTGAAAATAAAGTGGCCGAAATCCGATGAGTTTTTTTTAACCTACCCACTTAGTTATTTCTTAGAAGACTAGCTGAGAAGACTTCTTTGTTAGAAGATTGGTAAAGCTTTTCATAACTTGGAGGTCTCTTATACTCACAGAGATGACCACTTTTACAGGGCCTCCTAACCTGCACAGAGGGCCTCCAAGCCTGCACAGATGTTGAGATGTTGCCTGAACAGCTAGATAAGCTCAATAGACGCAGTTTTTTTTGGGGGGGGGCCCAACAAGTGGGAAGATGGGGCCTCCAACCGGTGGGATTATGGGGGGCCTCCTGGTTTCTAATGGCCCCTCCCTTGGAGATTTTCTGGATCCGCCCCTGCTTTCAGGTAATAGAAAAAGAAATCACGCCTAGGTAAAGGCAGGTAACGGCTTCATAAAATATTATCTAAAATAACTCTTAGATGTATGTCTGGATTTTCGGGAAGTCCAATTACATAATCAATAGGTACATAATATAAAACTGGCGCTTTATGTTCTAACTGGTGTGAGAGTGACCGCTAACAGAAAATGCTGATCAACGAAGCCAATGGAATTAGATTATAAGTGAGCATGAACCTTACTTACGGTTAATTCACATGATGGTGAAAACCCTGAACACGTAATTCACATGACGGTAAAAACCCTGAACACAATTTTTCTTACGCGAGCTATTGACTTTACTAATAAAAGGACGTCTTCGTCTGAAAATGTAAAAATTTGATACCTAATCTTTGTTTAAAGGAAGGGTGCCACCTTCCGAAATTTTTGTTCTATGAATCTATTTTACTTATTTGAATTTTTAGACGTGGTTAGCGCGTCCACAATATACAAAAAACCGAAACATTGCATTTAATACATTGGCCAAAAAAAAGATCGTTGTTTATATCACCACTACAACTCAAGGTCGTTTGATGTGGCAGCTAGGACGGCTGGCATATCCTGTTGTCATGGCAACATATCATTCTGCCATTTGCATTGATGGCGCAACTGAGACAAAAAGATGAACAAATAAAAAGGAAGAAGATAACATGATTTGAACTAAGTTGTAGGTAACCAAGTAGGTAACTGTTGGCCATATTTGCCAACAGTTAAAGAACATCAAATAAGTCGAGTAAAGGTTTTTCCTTTACAATGCTTAAGAGATCTATGGAACCCTTCACCCTTCATGCAACTTACTAGAAAAACTTCCCAATTAAAATTTTAAAACTTAAGTGTATACCATAAAGAAAAAATATACCCTTTCAAAATGATAAAACATGCTTCAAAAGTATAACTTTTATACATACCTTTGCTGATTTCATGTTTTATAAAATACCCTTAACACGACGAGGAAATAGTGCTGAAGATTTTTGCCTGCCCGAATGCTGGCAGCAAAACTCGCAAATGATAACTTCACGTGCGGATTCAATGCTGACCGTCTCGAGCATAGGTAAGTGAAGCCGGTTTTTAGGTTCATGTGAGGCTAATCTTGTAAAAACTGCGTTGTGTCCAAAAGGTGGCACCCTTCCTTTAAGAGCAAGGTTTTTAATGTATAGCATTAAAATTTATTAATTATAATTTTTATGGCTGTTTATAGTGACACAAAACAATTTATTGCCACTTCTTTGCTATTGACGTCATTAAAAACTCAAGTAAAATTTTTGATTGAAAGAGGCAATTGTGGCTCGCACGTCCTTGTGGATTTGAGCGAAGATCATTATTTGGAAAAATCAAAATAGATGAATGTTTTTCTTTCTTGGATGCTCACTAGTGTTTTGATGCCTTGCATATCAAATTAGTTTGAGACTTGCTCAGAAGGCTGCTTCAAGCCTGGCATAGCACACCCCAGAAAATATGCAAGGTAAGAAAGAAGCAAGAGTTTTGACTAGACAATCACTGTTTGACAGTCCATCAACTTCAGTTTCATTTTCCATGCCTAACATTGATAATGAAAAGCATCAGGGTCTGTTGTTCTGTCCCACAACCATACTTCAGGATTTGGCATTAGATGTCTACACTGCTAGTGCTTCTATTCTGGTTAGTTGTTTATGTTTTCTGTTGATGTAGGTACCTACCTACCCATCTTTCTTAACCCCTTGCAAGGGCTTGTGTAGGCATGCGTTGCGCATCAGGCTTCAGGCTTTTGGCCTAAAGGCAGATACACAACCACTTAACTTATGATGCTTCATGAGCTTGAGAATCTATAGCCCATTGCAATGTGCTTTTGGCTATATGTGTCAACTAAAAACAACTTATTATATACTATTTGGTTGCATTTCATTGAAAGTATCCACGGCCGGCTGACGGCTGGCTGCCCACAGTTTGCCACGGCTGTGGGCGGCTGTGGCTGTGGAGCCACGGCTGCGGGGCGGCTAGGCTGTGGAAAATTGTAGCCGTGCAGAACTCTACTGCACAGCCGCGATTTTAGCAACATCGTGTTCGCCTTGCTCAGGCGCGTCAAATAATATACTTTTTGTTTGGGTCAGGTCAACTTAGGGTGTTGACCTCAGGTCAAGGTCAGGTCAGCGCCCCCAGGTCACGAAGTTGGTCGAAAGAGGTCATGTTGCATATCATTCGATTCGGCAGGTCTTCCTTGGTGGAAGACCTGTCTTCCTTGGAGTCCATTGTTGGCTTTCCCGACTCGCTAGCTCAATTTGGTCGGGAGTTATTGACGAAAAACTAATATGGCCCTAATGACGTCTTAAATGACATCACGCAAGGTCAACATTGCAAAAGTGACGCATCTAACCTTGCAAGGGGTGCATCCAATCACAATTCTGTGTGCTTGAGATAGTTGGGAGATCGTTCCCGGCGCCAGAATAGCAGTTTTCATTTTTCCCCATTGACTTATAATGACCTGTCACGAAAATGACCTGACCTCATATGACCTTTAGCAAAAATCCGAGATATACAAGTTGTGAGACTAGTAATGGATATTAGATCCTGCAAGTTTTATTTCCCTGTGAAAGCTACTCTGGCGGTGAGGGTTGCGAAGTTGCGACATCTGAAGACCGTGCCGAGGTTCGCTTTTTTGGTTATGGTTTCCGTTGTCAGTTATAACGGGACGGTGTGTGATTGTACCGTGTATGGCTGTCAGGCTCGTGTGTTCGTGCGTGCGACGCTGTGTGCGTGTGCTGTTGTGTAGTCGCTGACGGGCCGGTGTGTGGCGCTCGGGCAGGTCGGAAGGCCCGGTGCGCGGTGCCGTCATCGGCATTGACCTGGGCACCACCAACTCGTGCGTGGCCGTCATGGAGGGCAAGGCGGCCAGGGTGATTGAGAACGCCGAGGGCGCGCGCACCACACCCTCAGTGGTGGCCTTCACACCAGGTGGGTGAGCGTGGCGCCGCCGGGCCGGCAGCCTCCGGGACAGTGCTGGGGAGCGGGGCACCCGGGGACTGCTGGGGAGCGGGGGACAGGTGGGGAGTGGGCCACCTCCGGGACACTGCTGGGGAGCGGGGCACCCGGGGACTGCTGGGGAGCCGGGGCACCCGGGGACTGCTGGGTAGCGGGGCACCCGGGGACTGCTGGGGAGCGGGGCACCCGGGGACTGCTGGGGAGCGGGGCACCCGGGGACTGCTGGGGAGCGGGGCACCCGGGGACTGCTGGGGAGCGGGGCACCCGGGGACAGGTGGGGAGCCGGGGACTGCTGGGGAGCCGGCACCCGGGGACAGGTGGGGAGCCGGGCACCCGGGGACTGCTGGGGAGCGGGGCACCCGGGGACAGGTGGGGAGCCGGGGACTGCTGGGGAGCCGGCACCCGACACCCGGGACAGTGCTGGGGAGCGGGGCACCCGGGGACTGCTGGGGAGTGGGGCACCGGGACACTGCTGGGGAGCGGGGCACCCGGGCCGGCGCCGGGGCCGCCGTCCGGTGGCGGCCGCCGGCGGCCGGCGCGGTGCCAGACCAGCCGACCGACTGACAGCCGCCGGCCGCGCCCTCGGCCGCCGGTTGTAGATCGGCCCACACTCGACTCTGATTCTCTACCGTTTGTTAACATGACGGTGTAGCAGGGGACTCTTAGAGCAGTTGCCACGAGCTGCGGCCGGTCAGCCGGTGTGGGAGGTAGCAGCCGTTGACCTCGCCCGCCGCGCCCTCAGACGGCGAGCGCTTGGTGGGCATGCCGGCCAAACGGCAGGCTGTCACCAACTCGGCCAACACATTCTACGCCACCAAGCGGCTCATCGGACGCCGCTTCGACGACCCAGAGGTCAAGAAAGACATGTGAGTCGCCGGCGGTCCAACTGTTTGTCGACCCTCTGTTAGATGTCGACCCTCAGTTAGATTGACTCTGAGCTCAGTAGATTACTGCGCCGGAACTGTCGAGGAAAAATTGTTTTTCCACCGTTTCTGGTAATCAATGCTGAGAACTTTATCCGGATTTGCGGTATCGGTCGGGTGTTCATAGTTTGTCAATCACTCCACTAATGTCTTTTTTCGATCAGCATGACATTGCACTACATGAATTCGCTGCAGTATCAACCTGTACTTTTATGATGCGTTACTGATTTGTATATGTGAACTAGTCGGTACGAACCTTTTATGTTTTTACATGCGCCTTTTCTGCGCCGTCCCGGGTGCTGACGGCCCCGTTGGGCCGGCAGGAACATGGTCTCGTACAAGATTGTGAAGGCCAGCAGCGGCGACGCCTGGGTGCAGAGCACCGACGGCAAGATGTACAGTCCCAGCCAGGTTGGCGCGTTCGTGCTGACCAAGATGAAGGAGACGGCCGAGGCGTACCTGGGCCAGCCGGCCAAGAACGCCGTGGTCACCGTTCCGGCCTACTTCAACGACTCGCAGCGCCAGGCCACCAAGGACGCCGGACAGATCGCCGGCCTGAACGTGCTGCGCGTCATCAACGAGCCCACGGCCGCCGCGCTGGCCTATGGCATGGACAAGACGCAGGACAAAATGTGAGTGGACCCCCCCCCCCCCCCACACACACACACACAGCATGGACAAGAGTAAGACGCAGGACAAAATGTGAGTGGACCGCCCCCCCCCCCCCCGACACACACACAGCATGGACAAGACGCAGGACAAAATGTGAGTGGACCCCCCCCACACACACACACACACAGCATGGACAAGACGCAGGACAAAATGCAGTGTCCCAAAATTGAGTTTTGTCTTGGGTGTCAGAGGGGAAAATTACCCACCAAAAAGAGGGGAGAGAGTGGAAAACTGCTGATTCGATTAGATCAAAAAGGAGTGAGAAATGACAAAAAAACATGCATTTTATTCTAGGGTGTAGAATGTTTGATGCTAACTGGGCATCCACACAACTGTCTTTCTATAGGTAAAAAATCTATGTTTTCTTGGTTGGGACTTGGGAGTGGAAAATTGTTCTTAAAAATGGTGGTGAGAGTGGCAAATGAATTTCATTTGGATGTCGTTTCCCACCCAAATAGACAAATTTTGGGACATTGACAAAATGTGAGTGCATCCCCCCCCCCCCCACACACACACACAGCATGGACAAGACGCAGGACAAAATGTGAGTGGACCGCCCCACACACACACACACACGCACACACAGCATGGACAAGACGCAGGACAAAATGTGAGTGGACCCCCCCCCCCCCCACACACACACACACGCACACACACGCGCGCCGAATATTTTCATTATCGTGAAGTATCCCAGTATGACCGGCCCGATCCGGCATGCAGCGCTTTTCAGAGAATTATCTGTTGACAGCGTCCATTCGTTCGACAAACGGTCTTCTCTGTTGGATAACTCATCCGTTTTACCGGCCTGATATTGACTGCTCTTGACGCATCTAAATGGTCGTGTCAGCACCAACCGCCAACAACTTGGTCCGCTTAAAATCACTCGGCGATGGCTTCGCCGATTGCGCTGGAACTTCGCTTGTTGGTGGGCACCCATTTGGCAATGGAGTTGAAGCCATTGCATCTCGAGAACGGCGGGACCAATGTCGCCAAAATAGGTACACCGTCAGGGATCGACTAGGTGGGTGACACAGATCAGGTCGACGTCTCGCTCTGTAGTATTCAGTCGTGGAGCCAGGATAAAAATGTAAGAATATGATGAGCAATCCTCTGGTTTAGGAGGATTGTTAAAATGTGATGGGCAGTGTTCTTATGTTCATTTTTGCAATGCACTTTGCAATGCTCTTACCGAAGACCGAAGACGTTTATATGATGGAAAGTATTTGAATGCGGCATCCCTTAGTTTCATGTTATTTGTTTGTCGAGATTCATTATTGTTATTTGCCCGATAGCTGAGTAAATTCCCGTAGCCTTTAAGAAGATGGTCGCATGCTTATGTCTGCCAGTACCTTCAGAACTTGATGGGCTCACTGCTTGTTGCCACTCAATCACAATTCCTTTCATTATCTGTATTGCTTAGGTCTAGAGACGTTGCCAGACATCGTTAATGGGTACATTGGCTTTCTGTTTGGGCTCATCCTATGAATCATTCAATGCGACATGCGTACGTAGATTGTCTCCAGCGCCGCCTGCCACTATGCCGTTTCCCATCTCTTTGGCGTCCCCCGTCTGACCTCCCGTCTCTGGCGTCTGACCGCCCGTCTGTGGTGTCTGACCGCCCGTCTCTGGCGTCTGACCTCCCGTCTGTGGCGTCTGACCGCCCGTCTCTGGCGTCTGACCGCCCGTCTGTGGTGTCTGACCGCCCGTCTCTGGCGTCTGACCGCCCGTCTCTGGCGTCTGACCGCCCGTCTGTGGTGTCTGACCGCCCGTCTCTGGCGTCTCACCGCCCGTCTCTGTGGTGTCTGACCGCCCGTCTCTGGCGTCTCACCGCCCGTCTCTGACGTCTGACCTCCCGTCTCTGGCGTCTGACCTCCCGTCTCTGGCGTCTGACCGCCCGTCTCTGGCGTCTGACCGCCCGTCTGTGGTGTCTGACCTCCCGTCTCTGGCGTCTGACCGCCCGTCTCTGGCCGGCAGCATCGCCGTGTACGACCTGGGCGGCGGCACGTTCGACATCTCGGTGCTGGAGATCCAGAAGGGCGTGTTCGAGGTCAAGTCCACCAACGGCGACACGTTCCTGGGCGGCGAGGATTTCGACAACGCCCTGCTCAACCACCTGGTGGCCGAGTTCAAGCGCGACCAGGGCATCGACCTCACCAAGGACCAGATGGCCATCCAGCGGGTGCGCGAGGCGGCCGAGAAGGCCAAAATCGAGCTCTCGTCGTCCTCGCAGACCGACATTAACCTGCCCTACCTGACCATGGACGCGTCCGGCCCCAAACACCTCAACATTAAGGTCAGTCCTGCCGGACGGCGGCAGGCGGCCGGCCCAGGCCGCCCGCTGTTCTACGTTGAAGCCCAGTTTGTCTGTGCTACTGTTCTGGTAGGATCTGTGTGTCGCCGGTGGTTGATGTCGGCCACTGGGAGCGGCCGGTGCTCGTGCGCCGGCTGACTGACGCGCCTCGCCCGCAGCTCAGCCGCGCCAAACTGGAGAGTATCGTGGGCGACCTGATCAAGCGCACGGTGGCGCCGTGCACCAAGGCCATGAAGGACGCCGAGGTGACCAAGGCAGACATCGGCGAGGTGCTGCTGGTCGGCGGAATGACCCGCATGCCCAAGGTACGTGCGGCAGGGGGCGGACGAGTGGGAGGCGGCTGGTCAGGGCGGGAAGGAGGGTGGCTGTAGGGATTGATGAAATGAATGACTGCTGGTTTTAATTGAAGTCCATCACGTCTTGTTTTCGGCCCAAGTCAGATAACCCTTCAGAGAGCTGGGCGATTTTGGGCGCCGGACGATTCAGTGTGTTTGAACTCGACCCGTCTTTATCCGTTCGTGTAGCCGGCGAGGCGTGTGCACTGTGCACGTCTGTCCGGTCCGTCGATGGGCCGCCGGCCGGGCAGCAGAACGTGTCGGTACGCCCGTGTGTCTGTCTGACTGGTCCGCCGGCGGGCCGCCGGGTGCGGTCCGCCGGCCGGGCAGCAGAACGTGTCGGTACACCCGTGTGTCTGTCTGACTGGTCCGCCGCGGCCCCAGGTCCAGAGCACGGTCCAGGAGGTGTTTGGCCGCACGCCCAGCAAGGCGGTGAACCCGGATGAGGCGGTGGCGATGGGCGCCGCGATCCAGGGCGGCGTGCTGGCCGGAGACGTGACGGACGTGCTGCTGCTGGACGTGACGCCCCTCTCCATGGGCATCGAGACGCTGGGCGGCGTGTTCACCAAACTCATCACCAGAAACACCACCATACCCACCAAAAAGTCTCAGGTCAGTGGGACGGGTCGGCCGGCGCGCGGCGTTACCACCGCCCGCGCTGAGCGCTCCGCCGCCGTCCGGTCTCCGAGTAGGGCGACCCACTGAGCCGGGAAGCCGGACTCGCCGGCAGCCGGCTCTGTCTCGTCCGAGCTCTCTGTAAGCGCAGTCGGGGGCGCAACGACAGCAACTTACTGATTGGTGGCTCTCTAGTCTCTCTCTGCTTGATGCGTCGTATCCGGTAATCTGTGTTAACACGCGCAGTGGAAGGGTTGCGAGTACTACGCCCAGTGGAAGGGGGGGGGCGGATGTCGCCCCCCCCCCCCCTAAGATCTCAGCTCCCACTGGAGCTAGAAAGACGAAACTTGTAGGGTAGGTAGGGGCCATTGGGAACTCTGTTGAGTGTGAATTTCATGACCCTAGGTCAATATCTTCAAGGTCAAATGAGGTCAAATGTGGTCAAATCTGCCATATTAGCGACTTTTTTGCGTTTACACGCCGATAACTCAAAAAGTTACCGGCCGATTTTTTTAAATCTTTCACTATACGAAAGAGCAAACATTTATGAGTATGTATGGTGAATGTCTAGATAATCCAACAATAAATATGGCAGTTAGAAGCCTGCGAAAGGTAAGATGTCGCCGGCTGAAGCGGCATCGGCCGACGCGGGAATCGCGGCAATCACAATTTTGTGTTTACACACTCATAACTCAAGTTGTTACCGGCCGATTTTCAAAATTCTTTGACCATATGATTGCCTGTACATTTCTCAGTCTTCTCACCGAATTTGACGCGAATCTAATATAATCAGCGGTAAGGAGCGCGATATAAAGACGGAACCGTCCCGCCCCGGCACAGTCTACAATTCAGGCGGCGCGTAACGGCTAGCGCCGGCCGCACGGTTCGTCGGAAGGTCATCTCAGGCTCAAAAGAAACGATATATACCATTCGAAAGGTGACGGTGAGCTGAATCCAAAAATGTAATTTTTATCAAAATCGATCGATGGCCTTTTTTGAAAATTGCGTTTTTGTAAAAACTTAATAATCTTTTATTCAACGGGCTGTCCTGGACATTCTTGAAAACATAAACTTGTATTTTGGAGTTCCAGTGAAAACTGAATGCCAAAAGAACAATATTTAGCGAAGCAACATTTCCAAACATTAATATGCGTCTCCCACAGCCGAAAATAAGGCGCAATCACACAGCTCAGTGTCGCGATGGACCAAAGTCAGCCACACAGAAGCGTGAAATGACCCTTATCGACTCGCAGACCCGGCGCTCTACTCCCGCCTGACTGGCCACGGAAAGAACGTTCGGCTCTCGTTCTACTAAACATATGTCATATTTGTCAGTTTAACTGTCCACATCGCTAGGTATGAAAGTTATTCAGGATACCTGTGAAGAAAATTCATTGTTCTGTCATCCTCACATCATGCATTAATTTGCATTTGTTCATGTCTACTTTGCTCAATTGAGCTTGGTATCATGCCCATATAAGGAAAATTGGCCGCGCTGAAATGTCAGAGGCTGCACCGGCCTCAGCTCGGGTGGAGTGGGGGTAGCGCCCGGTGGGGCAGGGTAACCTTTGACCGGTCGCACGGCCGAGCAGCTGTCACCAGTACAGCCTCTGACAGTGAAACCCCGCTCACTTCCCCTGCGCGGGCACTGATCGCAGCTGGATGGAACAAAACATGCATAAGAAAAATGTAAATTAAAGCATGTTGTAAATCGAGCAGAACAATGAATTTTCTTCACTGGTATCCTGAATAACTTTCATAGCGATGTGGACAGTTAAACTGACAAATATAACATTTGTTTAGTAGAACGAGAGCCGAACGTTCTTCCCGTGACCGCACAGTGGGCGATCCGGCCGGTGTAGCCTCGCGAAACCTATCGGCATTCATAACATCTATGTGTTTGAAGCTAGAACCACAATATTTAGGAGCAACCTTCTTGAATATCCAAGGAACATATGTTTTAAATAAGGACTATCTCTTTTAGGATCTGTGCTCTGTGGCGAGCTTGCAATTTGCCTAATTGCCGCTCGAATAACGCATGAATACTTTTGAGTGTAGGTCGAAATTTATGACGATATGAGCTGGGTAGGACATTGAAATGGTGCGTACCTCCGTAGAAAATTGCTTCCAAACCAACTTTTTATTCAAACGATTATGCCCTACCAATTTATACATATCATGAAACAGCGTAAAGCTCGCCCGGCAAGGCCCCATTTCAGTTGGTGACACTCCAGGGAAATAAGCTAAAATTAGAGCGCTCTATTTATTGCTCCTGCCCTATGTTGAAGAGATACCCCTAAAAGCGTGATCTTTTATCGGCCCTTACTCAGCAAGGCAGTACTTCTCAGACCGGTGGATGGTATCAATAGAAAGAGAATGCGTCAAAGATTAACATGAATTAATTAAAATAACATTAAAATGTTAATTAAGCGTGGAAATTAGTCCCAAACTTAAGCTAATTATTGCTCCAACCTCGGCGACGGCGCTCCCCGCAGTCAGTGGAGAAGCTAAAATAAAAGCCACCATCCTCCTCCGTAAGTCAATTTTAGAGCGGCCGAGTGGGCCGATGCGGGGCCACCAAACTGAGGTGAGACGTGGCTAGCAATTGCGAACTGCCATAGAAATCAATATCTTAAGACGTACAATATTGATATGGGATGATTACTCTGAAGCTGGAGTGAAAGCATGAGTAGATTGCAAGAAACGAAATGCATAGATTGGTTGAATTATGTACAATAGGCACGGCTCAGATGAAGCCATTTCTTTGATGTTGACATTTGACATAACCCTTCCTCTCCTCACCTACGACCTAAGTACGTTGGCAGTTACCGGCATAGTTTTTTAGCACGAGTGTAATTCGCCATCGGACCGCAATGCATGTTGCTAGGCTGCTGCAATTACAACGAACATACGAATACTGCCTTCATTTGTAGACGTTTGTTTTTTAGGCGGTCTTTGACGTACAAGGGGGCATACCTGTCGACAACTCGAGTTTCTCCGAATTTCAAAAACTCCCAGAATTCCAATTCCTTTTGCACTGTTGTAGGTACAGCTATGTTCACAAGTTTTCGTTTCCTCCTGCTCTAAAAAGGATGATATTTGTCGATTTCGTGCGTCGCTGATAGAAGGGTGCGTTTAATAATTAGGCCCAACGCTTTCTGCATCCGCGAGTACCTTTATTACACTATGGGACAAGTGACAAAATGACCACTGCAACACGCATGAAACGGAGCTCATATTCCTAAAAATGTCTACAATCACTTCTTTTCTGACACTATTAGCAAATACCATCTCAAGTTAGGTGGTTGACAGACAGTCAATGGAGATCTGGGGAGACTGAGTGATGCCAATTCACCACTTAACTGATAATGAGGGCCGAGGGAAGAGAAACATGCAACATGCACAACTGACAACTTGACAAGTGACAAAACACTACCACTATTGCGCAGTGCACAACAAATTACAGCAGCCAGCCCAAAAATGCTTTTGGTGGCTAATTGCAAAACAAGTCACTAATAAATGTCTTAGTTGCAGCTGAACACTGCACAATGATCACACTGTTCACACATTGAGTGAGATGCCACAGGTGGTTTGAATCACACTTTGGTACAACTGCAAATCTGAAGTGTTGTCATGAGGTTCATGCCTCCATGATCACAGCACTTTGGTTGTGGTTGGCATAACACTTGTAGTCTGCAGAGTTCCACATGAACTGCAGACACCTCATCTGGTGGTCTTCATGTTGCTCAACTTCTTCAGGAGGCAAATGTCGACCACCCAGCGGAAGCATAGTCCTGCAGAAAAGAAAGGTAATGCATAAGGTACAAACATTATCTGCTGAAACAGCCCCTTCTGTTTGCTGTTATTAAACTTTTAACATAACATAACAACATGCATTCCATGTATATTACATTTGTTGAAGTAAAATACTGCCGGCTATTTCAAAACCAGAAAATGAAATTATATTGTGGCATAATTCACATGCTCAGCTATCAGTATCATTAATTTAAAATTTGGCATATTATATATAACACATTCATAGAATGTTCTACTTCACGTCACAAGGACTCACAATCTTTCTGTTGGGTGTTTGATTGACCCATTAACTAGGTTTGTCTTAGGTTTTATTATTGCAAAAAATTCATATTGCATTATTGTATCAAAATACTGCCAGCAATAACAAAACAAGAACATGAAATGTCAATGAGCAAGCCGCCTTTCCTAAAAATGGATTACTTTGAAAAGAATTTTAGTTTCTTTTACGGAAAAGGAGAAATGATTATCAGGTTATTATCAAAAACCACTCAACCAGCAAGTGGCTGGGTGGTTTCACAGCAAACATCAAGCCAAAACATATGCTAACATTTATCTAACAATTGAGCCATTTGACTACACAAGGATATGTGAGCAAAATAAGAATCCAATTATCCAATGTTGACTTCCTTGCAAAGTTTATGCCTTATTTTATGAAAATATGTCACTAGAATATGATACTTATCATCGAATATTATTTAATTTACGATTTATTTCGATCGGAACGCACATGGGGTCCCGCGCCATTTTCGTCGACGATAAATATGATCGTGTTTCATGAAGAGATAAGGGGTTTCAATGGTCTTTCAAAGCAATAATTTGATGCAAAAATTTGTAGGAAATAATATAAAGCTGGTTCAAATGGCCATCAACCATTTAAAACACCGAAAATACTCACAACTCCGTCCCGACGACCACGCAGCACCGCGCACGCCACACTACTGGCACAATGCCAAAACTGCCGTCACAGCAGAAATGTTTTTTTTTCTCGATTGCAATTGTGGAATTATTTATTAAACAGAAGATTATCTTTCCGAAAAACCGACTGATTTCATACACAGATGCATGGAAAATAGAAAAATCCCGGTAAGTTTATTTGTATTGTTTTGTCGATTTTGACATGCTCCTAGTTTGCAGCCATATTTCGATATGTTCTACAGGGAGTTCAGAATTATTTCAGGACCAATCTTTTCCTCATTCATTTTCCCGTCGATCATGAAATTTTTAGAGCGGAACAATTAGTTTCCAGGCGGTCCGAGCGGTTTTCGTGAGAAGGGTGCAAAAATCGGCGTCATTTTTAGAGCCTCGACACCAGCTCAACACAGGACCCTATGGGAGACGGTGAAGTAGCGGGAGCAATAAATAGAGCGCTCTAATTTTAGCTTATTTCCCTGGTGTGTCACCGACTGATTTCATAACGTGACCCAAGCAGCGGGTTTGGTTTCTGGTAAAAAAAAAAAAACTTCGCAAAAAATGGCCGCAGAACCACGATTTTGACATCGTCGTGTTCGCCTTGCTCAGGCGCGTCGAATGGTATACTTTTTGTTCAGGTGAGGCCACCGTAAGGTGTTGACCTCGAGTCAAGGTCAGGTCAGAGGTCTTCAAATCACGAAGTTGGTCAAAGGAGGTCATATCGCATATCATTCGATTCGGCAGATCTTCCGGAGTCCATTGGTGACCTTGTCGACTCTCTAGCTCAATTTGATCGGGAGTTATTGACGAAAAACTCGTATGACCCTAGTGACGTCATAAATGACGTCATGCAAGGTCAACAATGCAAAAATGCAGCATCAGATCTTGCAAGGAGTGCATGAAGTAACGATTCCATGTACTTGAGACATTTGAATATCATTCCTGGCGCCAAAATAACAGTTTTCATATTTCCCCATTGACTTATAGGTGAGGTCACGTGACCAACCTGACTTTATGTGACATTTAGGAAAAATCTGAGATATAAAAGTTGTAAGACCTCTAAAGGACAATAAGTCCTGCAAGTCTCACCTCCCTGTGAAAGTTACTCTGGCACTGAGAGCGTTGCAAGGTTGCGACATCTGAGGATCGTGCAGAGGTTCATTTATGACGTCATAGGTCAGTGACCTGACCTGAATTGAAAGTGCAGTTGGTGTCACAAGATTCGGCGTGCATCAAAGGTCAGGTATGCCAAGTTGCAGTTCTCTATTTCCTGGGTGTTTTGAGCAATCGCGAAAACACCCTTTGTGGCATTTACCACTTGTGCTCAAGCGCACCAAGCCACGGCCAACCCTTAGACGAAAAAGGTGTCTGGATGCCAGGGCTGCAAGTGGCTGCAAATTTTCACTGGCTCCCCTAATAGATAGTGTCTTAGTGCAGGCGATACAGCATTGTTTTCAGTTCATCCTCGTAAAACTTTTTTTGCTGGGCTTGGTTATTTCAGTGAACGTAATATTCAGTGGTAGAAAAAAATATAAAAAGTTAACCTAATTATAAGACATTTTGAACTGATTTTGTCTACTTGCTTTCTATGGCGGAATCGTCTAAACATCTAAATTTCACTTTCCATGCAAAATGGATGCTCAACACCTAGCAATTTCATCGTTCCGCAAAATATCCAAAGAGCGTAAAAATCGGCTGTGATTATCCCCCTTATGAAGTGTTACGGAACGTTGTCTTTAACGATACTTTTGTCTACGAAAAAATGTCTCCAGAGCCATGCAAATGCACTAATCGTAATCTTTGATGAATTTTCTGTCGACTAGTATGCGTTGTTTTCCAATTTTCGGAAAAAAGTGTCTTTGAGGTTTCGCGAGGCTAGACCGGCCCGATCGCCTACCGTGGACCGGTCAGGCGGGCCGAGAGCGCCGGGTCTGCGAGTCGATAAGGGTCATTTCACGCTTCTGTGTGGCTGACTTTGGTCCATCGTGACACTGAGCTGTGTGATTGCGCCTTATTTTCGGCTGTGGGAGACGCATATTAACGTTTGGAAATATTGCTTCGCTAAATATTGTTCTTTTGGCGTTCAGCTTTCACTGGAACTCAAAAATACATGTTTATGTTTTCAAGAATGTTCGGGACAGCCCGTTGAATAAAAGATTATTAAGTTTTTACAAAAACGCAATTTTCAAAAAAGGCCATCGATCGATTTTTATAAAAAATACATTTTTGGATTCAGCTCACCGTCAGCTTTCGAATGGTATATACCGTTTCTTTTGAGCCTGAGATGACCTTCCGACGAACCGTGGCCGCCGCGCCGCCGCGGCGGCAGGATGTTTGACTTTACACCGCTATTACTAGAAAAGTTGTGAACCGATTTTCTTACCTCTTGCACGAGAAGATCCGCAATTCAATTCTGGACAGGTAGCCGAAATTTCACATTGATATTATGCTTGCGGCGCGAGTTATTGGCGAAAAACAGGAGGGGTGGGCGAAATCCGCCCCCCCCCCCCTTCCACTGCGCGTGTTAACCCTCGCCCCGCTGGGAGGGGGGGGGGCAACCCCGGTGGTTTTTCCTGAATAACAAGGAAACGGCGGCGCGGCGCCAAATTTTCAGTACCTTCCCGGGCATCAATTTAACACTTTCAGACACAATTTCAAGTCTTAGGTCACCTTAGGTCAGGAGTCATTGAGGTCAAACTGAGGTCATGTTTTGGGTTTTTGGCACCCAAAAACTCAAAAAGTTGATTTTTTAGAAAAAACGCAAAAAAAAATCCAACATTTTTCCGAATATCGAAAAAAATGGGACATATGTGATAGTCCCTGCGATCTTCTATATACATAGGGGAGAGTGGGGCACATTCGTGCAAAAAATGGATAAATCCATATATCTGTTCTTTGGTTAGTGCAACGGCAAAATTGTTGATTGTGGTATGGAAAGGAACTAGTGCAGATATTTTTCCTCTTTAAAAGTTATCCTCTAAAATTATTGCTTCTATTAGAAAAAAATGACTTTTAATAACTCTGAACGTTTGCACGAAACTGCCCCACCTATGGGGCACATTCGTGCAAGGGGTGGGGCACTTCCGTGCACCCTGCAAAGTTCTAGAAATTACCGGGCATTACCAGAAATTTACCAAAGGAAATTGGCAGGGGGTCATTTCACTTGATTCCTTTCGACAAGAATGCATTGCACAACATATGTAGAAAGAATGGGCTGGCCAACAAGAATGTGCCAACTGCCGGCCTCCGTGACCTCGCCAAGTTCGCGTGAATTACTCGTCACGACGTCGCAAGCAGCCGAGACTGAGTCAGGCGAGCGTCATTAGTGAAACCTACTATAGATAAAGTCATAAATAGCAAAAACTAAAAAAAATATGCACGAATGTGCCCCCAGGCAGTGCGTACACGAACCTGCCCCACAACGTTATTTGTAATATATTTCAAAATTTCTTGTTGAAAAAATGACACTTTGTCAACAAACAAGTTTGCAGCAGTTCCGTGAATAGAGTGAGCACCTTCGCCCCCAATTTTGAAAAGCTGAACCACATTTCCGAGTCAGGATCACGAAAATGGATGATATGAGAAAAGTTTGGAAAGCTCACGAATATTACAAATTTGCGTTTTTATCAAGCATGACAGCAGGTACAGTGTTGTCTTCTACGGTGAACGAAGGGCGGCAATGATAGACACATTTCCATAATTTACCTTGAGCTCGTGCAGTCACTCGTGTTCCCAAAAACTGCTGAAAACGAATGTGCCCCATGCACGAATGTGCCCCACTCTCCCCTACCAAATTTTAGATCGATACCTCCTTTTTGGCTAAGTTATAATGAAAAAAAAAATTGGAGCTGCACCGAATCGATACCCATTTTATGCAAAAATTCAACTTTGAAATTTGACCAAAGTTGACCTGACCTTGACCTGACCTTCACCAGAACATAATATAAACTGACCCCAAATGCTGCCTGGCCCACATAATCGCATTTGGTATATAAAATGGACCATAAAACATGTATCACACGACACTTTCATATTGTGACCCCCCAGTGACCTGACCTCTGTGACCTGACCTGGTATCAGTGACCCCAAATAGCAAAATATGTGTTTGAAGAACATTTCCCCACCGATGATTTTCAATGAAATGCATTTTACTCGATTTTACAACGCATTTCTTGAAATGCCTGTAAACGGCGCGCCGCTGGTCGCTGACGTCGGTCCCCTCCCCGTCCGGCGGCGGTGCTGTTAGCGGAGGTCGGTGGCGCGCCGCTGGTCGCTGACGTCGGTCCCCTCCCCGTCCGGCGGCGGTGCTGTTAGCGGAGGTCGGTGGCGCGCCGCTGGTCGCTGACGTCGGTGGCGCGCCGCTGGTCGCTGACGTCGGTCCCCTCCCCGTCCGGCGGCCGCAGGTGTTCTCGACGGCGGCCGACGGCCAGACCCAGGTGGAGATAAAGGTGTTCCAGGGCGAGCGAGAGATGGCCGCCGACAACAAGCTGCTGGGACAGTTCCAGCTGGTGGGCATCCCGCCGGCGCCGCGCGGCGTGCCCCAGGTCGAGGTCTCCTTCGACATCGACGCCAACGGCATCGTGCACGTCAGCGCGCGCGACAAGGGCACCGGCAAGGAACAGCAGAGTGAGTGCAGTGGTGGGGAGCCGGGCACGCGGGCACTGGTGGGGAGGGGGCACCCGGGCCGGCGCCGGGGCCGCCGTCCGGTGGCGGCCGGCGCGGTGCCAGACCAGCCGCCGGGGGCTGACAGCCGCCGGGGCCGCGCCCGAGGCCGCCGGTTGTAGATCGGCCCACCGGCTGAGGCGGCGGCGCTGCGCCCGCGGTGGGGCGACTCGCTGCCCGCGCTCCGTGGTGGCGCTGCCGCCGTACACACTGGGCTTGGTTACGCGGAGCACGTGCGATGTATCCAAATCAGACTATCCGCTACAGATCAGATGGTGTGCCCCGGCGGGCTGTGCGCTGTGTGCGTCGGGGTGGGGTTGTGACTGACGCCCTGCTCCCCCTGTCGCCAGTTGTGATCCAGTCGTCTGGTGGCCTGAGCAAGGACGAGATCGAGAACATGGTCAAGAACGCCGAGATGCACGCCGAACAGGATAAGGCGCGCAAGGAGCGCGTGGAGGCCGTCAACCAGGCCGAGGGCATTCTGCACGACACCGAGAGCAAGATGGACGAGTTCAAGGAGCAGCTGCCGGCCGAGGAGGTACGCACCGGGCAGGGCGGCGGGCCGGGCACCGCGGCGGGCGGGCACCGCGGCGGGCCGGGCACCGCGGCGGGCCGGGCACCGCGGCGGGCCGGGTTCCGCGGCGGGCGGGCACCGCGGCGGGCCGGGCAGGGCGGCCGGGGCCGGCACCGCGGCGGGCCGGGCACCGCGGCGGGCCGGGCACCGCGGCGTTGGCGCCCGATCACGGGGACGCGCGCTGACTAGCACGGTGCTACAGAGACTGGCGGGCGTTCCCGGTTGGCCGCCGGCCACCGTGGTCGGCCGGTTGTAACGGAACGCCCACAGCCGCTGCTGCTGCGCGATTGTCTTTATTTGGCGGGTCTGGGCCGCCGCTGCGGTAGTGTTCGCCGTACGCGCCGCGTCACCCAGTCTGGGTCGGGGCGGGACGCCGTGTGTGTGTGTGGAGTCTGTCTGAGCCACCCAGTCTGGGTAGGGACTCCGTGTGTGTATGTTGAGTCTGTCTGAGCCACCCAGGCTGGGTCGGGGCGGGACGGTGTGTGTGCTGGGGGCGCCGCGTGTCTGACGGCCGTGGGGGGGGGGGGGGGTCGCCAGGGGTCTGACCTGCCGTGTGGGGAGGGGGTGGGGGTTGCCGCATGTCTGACCGGTCGTGTGGGGGAGGCCGGAGGGGCCCGCCACCATTCTGATAGCTGTGTGTGTGTGGGTAGGGGGGTCCACCACGGGTCTGACGAGTCCTCTGGCGGCAGGTGTCGAAGCTGCGCGAGCGTCTGACGGCCGTCAAGAAGGCGCTGGAGAACAAGGACGAGATGTCGGCCGAGGATATCAAGAAGGAGGTCACCGACCTCCAGCAGCAGTCTCTCAAACTCTTCGAGATGGCCTACAAGAAGGTGAGGACCCGACCGGTCCGGTCACCGGTCGGCGCTGGGTCAGACCCTGAGCTGGGGTCGGCGCTGGGTCAGACCCTGAGCTGGGGTCGGCACTGGGTCAGACCCTGAGCTGGGGTCGGCACTGGGTCAGACCCTGAGCTGGGGTCGGCACTGGGTCAGACCCTGAGCTGGGTCGGAACTGGGTCAGACCCTGAGATGGGGTCGGCACTGGGTGAGACCCTGAGCTGGGTCGGCACTGGGTCAGACCCTGAGCTGGGGTTAGGACATTTTAATCCGTGCCTACCTTTGGGCACCGCGGCGTTGGCGCCCGATCACGGGGACGCGCGCTGACTAGCACGGTGCGACAGAGACTGGCGGGCGTTCCCGGTTGGCCGCCGGCCACCTTGGTCGGCCGGTTGTAACGGAACGCCCACAGTGAGGCAGTGGAGGGTGTAGACTCCACTGTGGAGCAATGCAGTGAGCTCACTGGTCGCATAGTGTAACTCTGACAACTGGCAGGAGATTTCCCACTGAAGCAGCCCGTTGGGTGTGTGTCGTGTTTGCTGTGTGTATTCGCTGTGTCTGGTGTTTAGTGGTACTGGTGGCACGCCTGCGCGGCCCGCGCTGACGGCCACTGTCTGGTTCCGGCAGATGGCGGCCGACCGGGAGAGCAGCGGCGGCGCGGCCGGCAGCTCTGCAGACTCGGCCGACGGCGGCGCCGCCTCCTCCGACGGCTCCAAGAAGGAGGACAAGAACTGAACGCCCGCTGCCGTGCGCCCGTCATAGTGCTGTACTGTGTCATCATGTTTGCTCATCGCTCCGGCGGCGGCGGCCGTCGCCCGGGCGCCGCCGCCCTCATCGCGCGGCCGGCCGCGCCGCCGCCGCGACCGCTCGCTGGCCATCATCTCCGGGCCCTCTGCTCCCCGCGCGGCGCCGGCCGGCCCCGCACCAACGCACCAATAGTGATATCGCCATATGTGTATATTATATTGTCATATAAATATGCCATTTAAAGCGCCGTTTGCGGAATGGGAGCTGTGGGGGTGTCCGTAAAAGCGGACCGCCCAGGGGACGGTGCCCCGAATGTTCCACACGTGAATCGTCATTAACTCTGGATGCCGGCGCGCATGCGCTGGAGTGCCCTCGGATCGAGAGGTACATACCAGCTCACAGAGGTGACGCCGCCAGCTCACCGGCGGGTGGCGGCGTCACCAGCCAGCTCACCGACACCAGCTGACGGGCGCAGACACACACCCACACCGCCCGGCGGGTGGCGGCGTCACCAGCCGACGGGCGCAGACACACAACCACACTGCCCGGCAGGTGGCTGCGTCACCAGCCGACGGGCGCACACCGACACTGCCCGGCGGGTGGCGGCGTCACCAGCCGACGGGCGCAGACACACACCCACCCACACCGAACGGCGGGTGGCGGCGTCACCAGCCAGCTCACCGACGGGCGCACACCGACACTGCCCGGCGGGTGGCGGCGTCACCAGCCGACGGGCGCAGACACACACCCACACTGCCCGGCGGGTGGCGGCGTCACCAGCCAGCTCACCGGCGGGCACAGACACACACACACACCCTGCCCGGCGGGTGGCGGCGTCACCAGCCCCAGAGCCTCTTCTTCACCACGTAGAGCACGCAGGCGAAAAAGAAGGCGAAGGCCAGCAGGAAGAGGACGTTGTCGGTCAGCTCCCGGCGGCCGTACTTGCTCAGCAGCCGGCCCGACTGGCCGATGGCGCCGCCGACGCTCTTCAGCTCCTCGTGTGTGTCGCTCACCTTGTCCGACGAGTTCACTGGCGGCGGAGGGGCCGGGTGTTAGTCGTTAAAATCGTCAGATCTGCGCTGACGTCACAAAAAACAAAGGGAGCATTCAAATGCATTAGCCCCTCAGCATCCGAAAACTGCAGAGTTTTAAATTGAATACTAGTATCTCGGAATTAACCCGCGCACCGACAGGGGTCCGCGCCAACTTAGAACTGACGGGGAGGGGTGAGGTCTCGAGAACGAAGCAAGATAGAGACAAGCGGTAAACGGCATGGGGTAAGCACTGAAAGGTCTACAATTTTTACTAAGGTCATTTTCATGTCAGGTCAAAGATCAAGTGACAGAGGTCAAAAAAGTCAAAATAGTGGCGCTAGATGAGGATATTTTTTCTCTAATAACTTTCGAAGTAGTGAAGCTAGGAACAAACTAATGGACCCATCGTGATCCTCTTGCCAATCCGCATCAAATCATATATCTGTTCAAGGTCATCAGGAAGCGCCTTGACGAGCTGAACACAATGAGACCAGCTGCCTGGCTGCATCTCGTTTCTGTAAGGAGTTATAAGCAAAAAAAAACTTTGGTGACCTTTGATGACGTCACACGACGTAAGATCTTGCAGTTCAGCTCAATAGCAAAACAGGTCTCAAGGGAGTCAAGTTTGATCGTATCTGAAGACATTTATGGTATATTGGGCCATTCCAACGCGGTAGGGGAGAGCGGGGTCAAATGTAACACGGGGCAATTGTAACAGTGTTAACCCGCACGGGGCTGGGGTCTCCAGCCGAACGCGCGGGGCTGGGGGTGGGTAAATTTTACCCCCCCCCCACTGTTATCTCCCGAACTAATGGTCCGATTTGGAAAATTCAAACGCCAATCGAAAGATCTCATCACGAACAACTATAAACATGTACTTAATTTAAAGTTTGAGCCTTGAGGTCAAGGCAGGGTACAAATTGCAAGTTTCTACAGTATCGGCCTTGCACCGTAGTTGCCGAAGAACAGACTGAGACTGATTGCCCAAAACGTATTCTTAGGCTACCAAGACAATATTCGCTGCATACAATATCATTCAGAGGTCAAGGTCAGGTAAGGTCACCAAAAACAAAATATAGAAAAGGGCATGTGCGACACATGCTTTATGGGTCATTTACTCATAGAATTCGATAGGCACACTCAATAAGTGATATGAACCACCTCTGGATGAATTTCAGGTCGAGGTCAGGTCAAGGTCAGGTCAAGTGAGGTCAAATTTTGAAGTTGGTTGTTAAGGCCTAAAAAGGTGTCTATCTGATGCAGTTTTTCACGGCGAATCGAATGGTGCTATTTTTGTTTCCGTACGAGGTCTAGAACTTCAAAAAAATCATTTTTCAAAGTTTTTGTGTGTCGTGACGTCATAAAATTTTGAATAACTCCCACATTTTTGAACCGATTCTTCTAAAAATTGGTATGTAGGTGCACATAGACCAGTTCTCTGACATATATTCCGGTTTTTTTCGATACACTCAAAATTTTGGGTTTATAATTATTTTCCCAAAAAAGTCAGTTTTTTTTAGAAAAAAATTGGGCCAAATCCAAAATTTTCAAAAACCGAGATACCCATTTGATAGACAAAGTAAAATTACGTATAACCTTTTTGTTACGTCTTGATTCCTTTAAAAATGAAGATGTTAGCGGCGTTGGAAATTTTGCCGTTTTTTTTAGGCGAAAATGGCGAACATGACGTCACTAAAACGTCAATTTCTCAAAAAATTTCCGACGGATTTCGCTCAAATTTTCAGAGAACGTGTCAAATTAATGTAAGAAAAGGTACCGAAAATTTGGCGCCTGCAAAAATTCGCGAGGGGGGTAAAATTTACCCCTCCCAAGCCCCGCGCGGGTTAAAAATTGTAGCTACTAATGGGATTATTACATCCTGCGACTTTCAAAGGCCTCATCTACTGTAGCTCTGACACGGTGACAAAGTTGCAAAAAGTGGTTGGTTCATTCGAAGTGACCTGGTGACCTGACCTGGTAGAGGGTTGAAACTTGCACAATGTGTAAGATTGATACGGGAATAGCCATGCCAAATTTCATGGCGCGGTTTTCCCGCTATTCACGAAAAACCTCAGGGGGGGGTAGAGTTAACCAGCCCCCCCCGTCGGTGCGCGGGTTAAAGCACTTCTCGATGTTGTGAGTGCCCTGCCCAAACCGGTAATTGCAAGCCAGGGACCCCAATTTGGCTATCTCAATTCTCAACTCCAAACTAATCTTAAGGTGGAATGGTCACTTTAAAAGCACCCGACGAATAATGTACCTACACTTTGTCTTACATGATCGAATCTAAGACAATCCGATGAAACATTTGCCCTCAATCTTTTGCATAAAGAACAGTGCATCTGGCTACGTGGCTTTTTTGCGTTGCTGACTGCCTACTGAGTGTCCCTGGAGGCTCAGGTGAAGTGGGATGTCTAAGAAAAATTGTATTGCTCATTCATGCAATGCCGGACATACTGAACAGTGCGTAAATTACATGCGGCATCCCGAAATTGAAACGAGATGACGAATGATGTGCTCTATGTCTCATATACCTGAACCTGGGACACTTTTACCTGCACTAGGTATATACGACGAAACAGGCTGCACCGAATATCGTGCCGCGATTCAATATGTGAATGCCGTAATGCCGTACTGTTGAAATCGCCTGCACTAGCACTGCCGCCTAAATTAGCGTAAAAAGGTGTAGCAAGTACGATCTTGCCCCAACATTGCGGTAACTCACTCCGGCCAAGCCTTCGGTGTTCGTGCGGACCCCTGCCGGAGAGTCCCCCCTCCCCCCCCCCGCACACACACACACTCGGCGGTGCGTGGCCCGCGCGCGGAGCCTTACCCAGCACGTCGAGCGTCTGCTTGCTGCGGTCCACCTGCTCTGCCAGCTGGCGGTTGATGGACAGCAGGTTACCCGTCACCTGGGAGGCCATCTTGTTCAGCTGATCCTGGCCGCGCCGCTGGCTGCCGGGGCACGGCGGGGTCACCACAACGTCCCAGTCATAACGGCGTCACACCGTCCCAGTCATAACACCGTCACACCGTCCCAGTCATAACGGCGTCACACCGTCCCAGCCATAACGGCGTCGTACCGTCCCAGTCATAACACCGTCGTACCGTCCCAGCCATAACGGCGTCACACCGTCCCAGTCATAACGGCGTCACACCGTCCCAGCCATAACGGCGTCACCACACCGTCCCTGCCATAACGGCGTCACCACACCGTCCGCGCCCGTCGGGTACATTAGCATAACGTCCGAGCTGGACGGCCGGAGCAGGACGGTCACCGGGACGCCAGAACATACGGCTTCACGTAGTCACTGGCATTACGCTCTTTTTTTTTTCGCCAAACTAACACTAGCTCAGTTGGGTCGACCGGCTGGTATGAAGGGTGTAGCTGTAGGGTATATCAGTGCTGGGGTGTGTCTGTGCCGGGGGGGGGGGCGCCGCTGGGGTGTGTCTGTGCCGGGGGCCGGGCCGCTGGGGTGTGTCTGTGCCGGGGGGCGCGCCGCTGGGGTGTGTCTGTGCCGGGGGCCGCGCCGCTGCACTGGGCCACTCACCGGACGACCTCGCCCGTCGGCCGGTCGTCGAACAGCTCGGCGGCGTGGCGTCTCTCGATGTTGAACTGGGCCGTCACGTTGGCGCGCCGGAGCTGCACCACCTGGCTGAGAGGGAGCGTGTCCGGGGTCAGACACTGCCCACGGGTAGCGGCCGGGGTCAGCCCGGCTGACACTGCCCACGGGCAGCGGCCGGGGTCAGACACTGCCCGGGGGCAGCGGCCGGGGTCAGACACTGCGCGGGGGCAGCGGCCGGGGTCAGCCCGGTCAGACACTGCCCGGGGTCAGCGGCCGGGGTCAGCCCGGCTGACACTGCGCGGGGGCAACGTGTCCCAAATTCCTTACGAGGCAGACACCATCCCAGGCAGTGAAGACATATGTGTTGATAAGCGACAAGCCATCCTCATTATAAATATTGTTTGTGTCGTAGCCCAGGCGCGAGGAAGTGGCTTAAGGGGATTGATCAGCTCGAAACCAACGGATGAGTCGTCAATTAGAAGTGGGTGTGCACTGTGCAGAAACGTCTGTTCGAGAGAAAACGTACCGTGCCGTACAGCGACGGCAGCGCGCGGCGGGCACGGCCGAGCCCCGCCGTCCACGTGGTCCTCTGGGGCCTGCGGGGTCATCTGGAGCACATACATATGTGTGCTGACCGGCCCCAACGCGCCGGGCCGGCCGCTGCCAGCCGGCTCGGCAGTTCGCGGCGAAACGACGACGACGGCGCAATGGCGCCGGAGTCGTACGATTCGAGTGACGAGCATTGTGTGACGAGTAGTCAAGAAATAGACATTCATCACAGAACTCTTTTGGTCTTCCGGTTAATGAAACAATACGATCTGATACGCAATTCTTAGTGAACTGGACGATTACACGAACACTTTGGTCTGCCGTGCTGGATCAGAGTGAACGACCACGAATCACACGAACAACGTCTATTTAACCCGCGCCCCGTTGGGCAATTGGCGGACCCAACCACCCGTTTGGGGGGGGGGGCGTTTCGGCCGACCCCCCTCAGAGTCAAATCTAGGAAAGTCACAGACTGATTTTGAAAATTCAAACGGCGTTCGATAGCGCCACCAGGTAGCTAGTAGCTACCTCGTGACTAAGTTTCGTTGACCTAGGTGCAACCGATGACGTCAAAGGTCAGGTCAAAGGTCACATGTTTCACCGATTACAGGTCTTCTAAGGAATGCGTTATAACATCGAATAAAAGGCATGTTATCGAAAATCATCGATGCAGCGTTGGTCACCTAATAGGGGAAGATTGGGGGAACACCGCCCTTTGGGGAACACCGCCCACCTCGAAATCAGAAATACAAAAAGGCCTAGGGCGACAGCTGACTGTCTTTTGGCGGCGTGACGACAACAGAAGTGCAGGCATGGGCAGTGCACCGCATCGGCTTAACCCGCGCCGTGCTGGGGGGGGGGGGGGGCGTTTTTACGCCCCCCCCCCCTCAGGTTTTTCGCGAATATCTCAAAAACGGCGGCGCGCAGCGCCGCCGTTTTTGGTACACGTGTTCCTACATCATTTCCGCACATGTTGTGAAAATTTCAGACCTAGGCCGTTCAAGGTCAGGTCACCAGGTCACGTCAAGTGACCTTACCTCAGAAAAAGTTCAAAGGCTCGCTATAGCTACACCGACTGAACGATCACTTTGAAACTTTCAGCGATTGATATGAGTAACAGTATGTATAAAATGTATATCTCGGATTTTTGATATCTGTGACCTAAGGTCAGGTCAATTTTGCGACCTCTCCATTATAAGTCAATGGGAGAAAATTGAAATGCGCCTCTTTTGGACGAATATCGTTCAAAACGCTCTCAAACATCGGTTCATAGGTAAACATGACACACTGAATAGGAAAAATGCACCTGTGACCCCTCTGTGTGCCCCTGAGGTCATCTCAGGTCATGAACGGTCGCCAGCAGTTTTTTGGCTATAACTTTTGATAGAGACGTGCTAGAGCGGTGAAAACACGTCAGATGTGTTCAGCTCGACGATACGGATCGACTGATATGCAACATGACCCTTTTCGGTCAGGTCATGACCTTGACCTGAGGTCAAATTTTCAAAATGACCTTTCAAGGTCAACAAATAGTTCATTCGACGCGTCTCGACGAGAGGAACACGATGCTGGCAAAAGTAATGTCATGGCGCTTATGAGTCAAAAGTTATTGACGAAAAAACGTTTTTCGTAAAAACGGCTATTTTTGGAGTTTTTGCCCTCTGGAGGCTAAACCGTTGACCTGAGGTCAAATCTGAGAACATTACTCAGAAAGGTCTGTAAAAGGGCTATCGAATGCGCTTTTCCGCGGCGCTGTAGCTCTATCGGTTCCCGAGATAGCCGTTGGCAGTTTCCAAAATGTTGAAATAGTCAACATTTTACCTTTGGTGACCTCTGGTGACCTGACCTTTGACCTGACCCAAAAAATGACCGAAGTGTTTTCGTCCTTATTTTTGACGCTCTTTCGATTGCCGCTTACCGCGTGTCGCTACGTGGTCCAGGAGCCGAGTTAGACGGGGGGCGTGAAAACGCCCCCCCCCCCCAGCACTCGGCGGAAAGTTCAGGCCACCAGCACGGCGCGGGTTAAGTGATTTGCGAGAAATTTCGAATTTTACGTTTCGTGAATGCGTTATATACTTTTTCTAGCATAATAAGCAGAAGAAAACTTATCTTATTTGACAGACATTAGTCCTAAAGTGGCATTTCTTGTCATAATTAGGATTAATCCAAGTATTACGTGCTCCTGCTCGAGCGAAATTTTTGTCGTGCTGCAATATTTAAGTTTTTTTTTTCAAGAAAAATGCAGACACTTGGGTAACACCGCCCACTTGGGAAATTTGGTATTTAATAGCACATTGTGACACCTAGCCCAGGAGTGACGCATTTCAAATAAAGAAAGAACGTTGTTGCTATGTTTTCTTTTTAGATAATAAAAATTTTGAGAAAATGAAATTTTGGTTACGGAGCGAGCGAAGCGAGCGTAGTCTTTCCTAAGATTAACGGAAATTTCTGAGTATGAGCGGCGCCGACCGGCCGGCCGTGCGGACGCTTTTGCGAGGCTTATATCTCAGCAACCACTTGACCGATTTACATGCGGTAATTTTTGTAGGGTAGCTTCATTCCTTCTACCAAGTATTGGACTATTCCCAATGCATGTGGGTGACCCCTTATGCACGTGCCACGTGCAAAACGAAGAGGTGTCAGTTTTGTAATTGTTGCAATATCTCGGTAACTACTTGGCCGATTGCGCTGAAAGTTGGCATGTAGGTAGGCACCCACTAGGCACTGCATATCCATGTGCCAGAGTTGGGGTGCTGCTGCCCACGTGCGCACGTGCAGGGGTCGATTCCAGATCTCGAGAACGGCTGATCCGATTGCGCTCAAATTTGGTACACGGCTAGGGACCAGTTAGTAGGGTGCCGTGCACAAGTCAGTTGGGACCCATTTTGCACGTGCGCACGTGCAGGGTGTCGCTCCCAGATCTCGAGAACGGCTGGGCCGATTGTGCTCAAATTTGGCACATCGCTAGAGACCGGTTAGTAGGGTGCCGTGCACAAGTCAACTGGAGGTACCCCCTCGAAATTTCGCACGTGCAAGGCTCACCCTCTCGCTCGCTCCGTTAGTCGCCCCAAAAGGCGTTATACTGGTACTTTAAGTAGTCTAGTTATAAAAATGAGTACTACATGGTACCAGGGATATAATAAAATCGTTTCCGCTGTATTTTAGAAACATACCAAAACGCCTCGAAATTTATAAGAAGAACAACTTAATAGTCCAGCAATCTGCAAATTTCGTTGCCTGCTGAGCTCGGGCGGTGTTCCCAACGGTCGGTGTTACCCCGAAAAATGTAAACATTTATTAAATGTGGAATAATGCAATTTTGAACGACACTACAAGAAGACAATTGGTTGATGTGTATGTAAAATTGATGCGACAATCCCATGAAATTGAGAGATTGATCATTTGGCCAAAAATTACGTGACTAGACCCTAAAAGGTTAAGGGATGTGTTCTCCCGTCTTCCCCTACATACGCTGCTAGGGAGGTCACTGATACCAGGTCAGGTCACCGAGGTCAGGTCACAAGGGGTCACATGGACCCAACTATACTACGGCCAATAAGGCCTGACACACGCACAGACATGTTATAAATCATAATATGGATTTGCATTTCAAATCCAATGATGTCGGTTACACGACCATAAGGGCTGGTTTAGGTTCCGTTCTGGTGGAGGTCAGGTCAAAAAATTTGCGAATTGTCATTATATTTTTCAGAAAATATGCGATTATCTCAGGAACTATGATAGCTAGAAAAACGCTGGGAAAAGCATTCGATAGCATTTAAACTCTTCTTTTGATAAGGCATCAAAAATGACCTCAGGTCAACGGTTTAGCCTCCAGAGGGCAAAAACTCCAAAAATAGCTGTTTTTACGGAAGTGTTTTTCGACAATAACTTTTGACTAAAAAAAGCTAGGACAGTTCTATTGCCAGAATCGTGTTCCTCTCGCCGAGAAGCGTCGAATGAACTATAATTTGACCTTGAAAGGTCAACTTCAAAATTTGACCTCAGGTCAAGGTCATGACCTGACCGGAAAAGGTCATGTTGCATATCAGTCGATGCGTCTCGGCAAGACAAACACAATGAGGCCAACCCCAGCGTTCTATCTCTTTCCAATCGAGTTATTGGCAAAAAGCTGTTTGTAGCCTCAAATGACCTCGGATGACCTTTCTAGAGGCTATCAGCAAAAAAAGACACCTTGGTCGTCACGGGTGGTCCAAATAATTGAGATTCTGAAATATTTGGACTGTTCCTATGCGTACACACGGATCTAGAGGCATTTTCGTTTTTCTACATTGACTTATAATGGAAAGGTCACGCCAATGACCTGACCTTAGGTCACGCATATCAAAAATCCGAGATATACAAATTGTAGGCACCCATAACATCATGCAATCCACCAAGTTTAAAACCTCTCTGACAAACACCGCAGGCTGGACATGATTGCAAACTTTTTTAGGCTTGGTCAGTTAACTTGACCTGGTGACCTGGCCTGACACATGACCTGGGGTCAAATATTTCACACGTTGTCCAAAATTGATGTG